TCTCACAAATTAGTCGGAGCCAGTTAGTGTAATCAGTACACACACCGATGCGGTGTTGCACTCAATTGCACCCAACTCTACACAGGTGGCACACCGGTGCAGACCAGCCGAAATCGCTATTTGAATTCGGATACGAGTCGACCAAAGGTAATTTTCTGAAATTCTGGAGAAAGAAAATCAGAGGAACGTCATTTTGTGTGACTTACCGTGTTGCGATAAGAGGACAAGTGATACTCGGCGAAGCCCATGCTTCTGGACTCCAGGGTGCGCATTCGTATAATCTGAGTTCCCGACCCGAAACCGCTCCGAAGACGCTGCGCCACCCTCCCGTGCATCCGCCGAATCCGCTCCCGGCGCCCCGCGAGGTGCTCGCGCTACTTCCGGCCCCGTCCTCGCTGCTCTCGCTACTGGCTCGTCCGTTCTGAAAGCACATACATACAGCACGATGTATAATATATATACGTTTAATTTTCTCTTATTTTGATTTCAAACATCACAAATGCAATTGTTTTCATTTGCGCTTGCGCAAATTGAAAAGTAGAAAATTATATTTGTAAGATTTTTAATAATAAACTTTAAGTTTATATTGGGTATAAAAGAATCAAAAGTCGATGTTATCAAAAAATACATTGTCGCGCTCGATCGTTTCTTTATATCTGCCGTGATGTGAAGTAAAACGTGACGTTCGGTTACAATTACATTATTGCGCAACGTCTCGACGTTTATTTTGTTCATGCGACAAGCGACAAGAAAATGTCCTTCCGTCCCAAGATGTGACGGTACTCGTTCGCGAATCAAAACCAAAAAAAAAAAAAAACCAAAATTTTGAAAGGAGTTTAACACTAGATATACCAGCTATTTAAATATACCTATTAAAAAATACAAAAAATATATTTGTTACGAATATATATAAAGTAACATTGAGTTCATAAAATGTATTCTCTACTTATAGCTACAAAAGTCATAACATCATTTCGGAAAGCAAATGTTACATGCGGTAAAAATTTTGAATTGAAATTGCACGACCAGTCAAAATGACTGGTCTGGTAAATCTAGTGTTAATAGCGGAAATTTACCATTGTTTATAATTCACGTTAAGAGATATACGTATCGTATAGTTACATGACCGTATTAGTTTTTGAGACAAGTTCGGAGAGATCGTCAGAGATGTTTTTTTTTTTTTGGGGGGGGGGGGTTTATGCTTTTACGTAACGTAAGAAAAAACTGCCGTTTTCTAAAAAGTTGAAGGCAAAACTTGTTGCAATATTAATCAGATATGCGTACCGATATAAATTTCACATAATACCGTAACGTCTTGATATTATTTTCTGTCCGCTATATATAACGAGAGCCACTCTACATATTTTCGAGTTAAAATCAAAACTTCCTAGTTTGCTCCCTTGTTAGTAAAATCGCAAAATGCGTTGAAGTCGTGAAGAGAAACAACCTAAGAAGAGCGCATTAATCTTAAACGACTTCCTGCCCCCTTTCTCTCGGTGAACGAAGGATCAAACTTCGTCCCCGGCCTTTTCCCTAAAGCTCCGCAGAAAAGTTGCCGTAAGTAGCGGCGTAAGGAGATACATCCCGTGTACAAGAGGAGAGATAGGGGGAGAAGAAGGAAGGAGAGACCGGAAGTTCTGACGAAGTCACTCCTGGTCGACGAACGACATCAGATCGGAAAGTTTATCCGGCAGATTAAAAAACTCCATGCGGCGGACTGTCGGAGCTGGTTGAACCGTATTTTATATGGAAACGAAACTGTCGTGACCGAAAAGCGCAGTTGTTTAGATCGGATCAGAGAGCAGTTTTTTTTTTTTTTAAGGATTTTAGCGTTTTTTATCCATCCGAATCATATTGCGGCATTATATGCGAGTAAGTTCTCGGCATCTATAAATATATTCAGATTGCAAACGCTTTTCTGACGATTACGTACACAGTAGATAAAAAAAAAAAAAAAAAAAAAAAAAATAATTTCGATAACTTCAATGCCAAAAAATCGAAAAAAAATTAATGTCACAGAATTTTTAGAATCGTAAAATCATCGCTTGTTCTTTTTTTTTTTTTTCGTTTCAGTGCTCCGCAGATATCACAATCGTCGTCTTATCGGCGCGCGCCGTGACGCCGATTTTCTTCCGTGTCGTGGCAACCGTGAAATCGAGCGAAAAAAGCGGGAGTGGGGAAACGTCGCGCAATCTACGACGAGAGTACCAATGTGGAATCAAGCGAAAGGAGAGAAATATTAAACGGCCGAGAGCGAATGTCTAACGGCGTGGGAGAAGGAAAAGGTCGATCGACCGGGTCGGAAAAGTTCGAACGAATTCGAGAGAGAGAGAGAAAAAAAGAGAGAGAGAGAGAGAAAGAGGGAGAGAGGGAGAGAAAGAAAAGAGGATTGGTTATCAAACGAGAAAGAACAGCAGATATCTCGTTTTTTTTCTCATTTTGTCTTCCGTAGAAGATGCAACTTATCTAAGAGATAATAAAAAAATGCTAATGAAAAAATATTTCCACGTGAGAACATTTCGGCTGAGAACGTTTCGGCCGCGCGTTTCTCATTTCGACGAAATGATATCAGTTTATCGTACGTGATGCCATCTGAAAAGTTGGTGGTTTCTTACTTCTGGTTTTTAAAACGTATATACAGGGTGTCCCAGAAGTGCCGTACAATCTCTCGTAGGCAGGTACAAGGAGTAAAAGCGAGTCGAAAAGTCCTGAACCATTTTTTTTCTATTATTTATAACAAAGAAGTAATTATTGAGTAAATCAGGCCAATCAGCGTCGACTCTTAGCCAGGCGCACGTCAGTGAGCCGCGCGCCTGGTGCGTGTGAGCGTTTACTGACGTGCGCCTGGTTAAAGATCGACGCTGCTTGGCCCGATTTACTGAATAATTACTTCTTTATTAATTAAGTAATAGAAAAAATGGTTCAGGACTTTTCGACTCACTTTTATTCCTTCTACCTGCCTACAAGAGATTGTACGGCAATTCTGGGACACCCTGTATATATATACAGGGTGTCTGACAACGCACTATAAAGCCGACGTGTGTAGGTAGATCGGGTCATTCTGAACAGAAAAGTTATATACCATTTTGCAAAATTCGCAATATTTATTGAGATATGAATTAATAAATGTGAGCCAATGAAGACGCGGGGAGCGACGATCGGACTCTATAGGCGTGCACGATTATCAGATGAAAAGAAAAATGGCTTCTCTCATGTAATGTCTTAGTAACGAGAGGCGGAGTAAACAAACAAGCGCGAAACGACTCAGTTTCTTGCGATCGGGCGCTATTCGGCGGTACGCAGCAAGCAACGGCGAGCGAGGAGTAGAGCTGATAATTGTGCACGCCTATAGAGTCCGATCATTGCTCCCCGCGCCTTCATTGGTTCACATTTATTAATTCATATCTCAATAAATATTGCAAATTTTGCAAAATAGTATATAACTTTTCTGTTCAGAATAACTCGATCTACCTACACACGTCGGCTTTATAGTTCGTTGTCAGACACCCTGTATATACGCGCTTTTTTTTCTACATTTTAGTCACCGCAATTCTTCATACAAACCATATCTCGGTTTATCGCTACTCGGTTATTTCTTCGTAAACAATAAAAGCGCAAGAGAGAGTGATCTCAAAATCTTCCTTCGCGTTCAACGTGGGGGGGGGGAGAGGGAGGGCGGTCTACGTACATGGATATCGAGCGCCATACTTCTGTTTACGAGCAAACCGGTAATACAAGTGTAATCGCGAGCGATATTTTCGCGAGCATTAATCCCAACTATACATTTATCGGGAAGCCAAGGATTAAAACAAGATTAAACGCGGGATATCTCTATCCACTCTCACAGCTGTACTTGGAAGAGAGAGTGCTCGAGGGAAGCGCGCGAGATGGAAGAGATCTCGCGACCCGCGTTCTAAATCATCTCGGCTAATTTCGTCTAATCTTTATACCGGTACTAAAATAACAATTCCCGGGTAAGGTATGGGAGTAGGCAGCAAATTAATAACAAACGAACTACAAAGGTATTTCGGGATAACCCATTCTTCGCGATAATTCCACAAACAATGTCTGGCGTCCTACTTAGAAATGTAATGAGATACAGAGAAATGCTCTTCGTTAATTAATCCCACTCGTGTGTGCATATAAGTTGACTGAAATTAATATTGTTATCACTGAAGATTGTGCGGATTGGATTATATCAACAATTCTTTGGAAAATCGACGAAGATATACATCGCGTATTGAGATTGAGATTAAAGTGGAAACGTCGTCGTCGTCGTCGCGAAAGCTCTCAATGTTGTTATTATTGCGAGCATGACTTGTACATATTATAGTTCTGTTCTGAACACGAGTTGGCGCACATGCCCGCGATGATGCGTTCTCGGAATACAAGGCGGATTCGGCGCTACCGCGCGGCGATACAGAATGTTAGGATTAATGAAATGAAATTGTTAGAGAATTTCAGGAGCGCGCCATCAGAAGTACACCATCGTGGTTTTCACCGCGGACAGGCGCGACCGCACACTTCCGCGCACGTGGAAATTCTAATTGCCGATAATTTCGCAAAGATGATCTTTTCTGTCGCGCAATGTTTTTTCAAAAATTTTGCAACTCTTTTGATATTTACGTGAGAGAGATTTTGATTTTTCTCTCTCTCTCTCTCTCTTTTTTTAAACACATACATATCGCGTTTCATTTTGCAATTTGTAATATTGTTTCTTTTTCCACAAAACTTTTAACATTGTTTTTATTTTGAAACACTGAAAAGCCCGTGCGCGCGCTTTTGGGGAAGAGATTTTGCAAAAATCAAAACATAGTAAGAGACAGAGAGAAAAAAAAGTTCCGCGCGTGCAGTTTTATCGCGACGCAACCTATATGAAAAGATCGGCTTTTACCGCATGTACTATGCTCGTAGTTATAGTCGTTATTCTGCGATAATGCGATCATCCTGTGTATCCGCCGTTACATCCTTGTAACGCCGACTCTAATGGAAAGCACATTAGGAGGTATATCTCTCACCTCGTATGAGGGGTGGCGAATGTAAGGATGGGGGGATGGAGAGAGAGTTAGTGTTAGCCAGCTCGGCAACGCTTCCGCGCAAGCGAGTGGAAACGTTACGATATCGTTCTTAAAGTCGCCTGTCCGCGTATTTACCGAAGATATCTTTTAAAGGGGAGCTTTTATATACGCCCGAGAAAATATAAAAACGAGTTTTCGAGTTTATGTTTTTTTCCGTGGAAACGTACTACCGTTATTTTAAGGACGTTCTACGAATTATTGATTTTCCTAGGATTTTCTTTAAATTTGCGATATACATAGTTTATGATCTTATTTGTACGTAGCCTTTTTGGATAATAGGGGTGGCAATGTTAAATTCCAAAAATACGGAAGATTTAAGTTTCAATTTTTAACATGGATTTCC